CAACTCCAAAAATCCCAAACATTTGTATGAGTGTAGCTTTATGTGTCTAGTGTCTTCATATAAAATTTTGTAGACTATAGATAAGTGTAAGTCAGTCTAATAATTATTTTTCGGTGACTGGTCAGTAGGGACAGCAACACAGTTTTTGTGACATTTTAAGTAGTTAGATAAAACAATCTTCTGCGGGAAATACCCTTATTTTCCTATGCTACAATTGACAAATGTTAGTGTTAATAAGGAAAATCAATAGGACATTTGTGTGCTATTTTGTGGTGTGCTTTTAATCCTATCAAATTTTTGGCGCCGTGTCGCCGGGGATTGTTATTTCTATTTACTTATTTTTCTATTGTTTTCTTTTCTTGTATAATTAGTGTTTTTGTTTTTGTTTTTTGTTTTTTTCAGGTACTCTTCGTAGTATATGCATACTCGAAAGTCCAAGAACCAGCCCTACATTATGAGTCTTTTGCGGAGCATGATGTGGAGGTTGTACCCCTCCAAGAACTAGCTCCCCTTGGATGATTACTCATGGTATCGTCCGGTTGCGGACGTAAAAGCAAGCGTTTATTGGGAGGCAACCCAATATTTCTATTCATTGTCTTTTATGTCATTTTCAATTTTTCATTTGTTTTTTCTGAGTTTTCTTGCGTGCTAAGCTGAATTATTTCTTTTCTTTGTAGGAATCTTTGGTTATGTCCACCCTTGGAGTTTATTGCAGAATTGAAGTTTGGGGGTCATCGTTTGATTTTACTGCAAATTGAGGAAGTTTTCAATCCAAATGCTTTATTTTGTTTCTTATTATTTTATTTTATTTTTTATTTTATGCATTATTGTGTTTTATGACATTGGGGACAATGTCTAGTTTAAGTTTGGGGGTAAGGATTGAAAAAATGACCAAATTGACCAAATTGAAAATTTTCGTCCCTTTGACTAAGAACTGGTTTAATTTGTTTCCTTGTTGTTGCTTTTAGTTTTCTTAATTAGTTTTGTTTACCCTAAAAAAAAAAAAAAAAAACCCAAAAAAAGAAAACATTCAGAAAATTTGAAAATCCAAAAATATAGTCTTATTTTCTTTATTGTTTTGAATTAGATTTTTATTAGTTTCCCGACCAATGATATAATTGGACTCAATTAGAACCACGGTGATCAAGAACTTAGTAAGCATGTATTGTGTGAAATTCCTTATTCCCTTGTTAGCCTTGTACATGTTTAATCATCTTTGAAAAACCAAAACACATAGCCTTGTTGATGTGAAACTAAAGCATGACTTAAAGCTTTGTATGTGAATATAGTGACCATATACAACCTATGTGAGTTTTTGAGCCTATTGAAAGTGTGTGCATTTTTCATACACTCATATTCTTTCATGTGTGATGAACTTATGTGACTTACATCTCTAGAACTTGCACAACGATCTTTCGAAATGTTTGTCATTGATTGCATGAACTTGAAAAGGATAGAGGCATTAGGTTTATCACCATGGCCCAAATAAGCATGTTTCCTAAAGAAAAATGATATCATTAGATTGCCAATTTGAGCCATATATGTTGAGCCATTTATTTCTTATCACCATGCCTACCCTTATACCTTACACATTTTTCCTTACCCTTTCCAAGCTAGCTAGTGAGCAATGTGAGATTGTCTTATGAGAAATGTTTGTGAAGTACTTTGAAGGAATTTGGCAAAAGAATAAGTGTGGGGGTATTTCATGTTTGTATTTAGTTATGTGCAAAAATTGGTTCAAAATAAAAATAAAAAATAAAAAAAAATAAAAAAAAAAAAGAAAAGAAAGAAGAAGAAGAAGAAGAAAAAAAAAACTTGTATACAAAGCAAATAAAAAGTTTAGGGGTGTGATTGGAGGTATTAGTAGAGTGGTTGGAGAGCTTGAGTTCTTATAAATCTCAACAAGAGAATTGCTTGCAATGTAGCTTGGAACTTGTGTTTACCTATCCTTTCATTTCCATAACCCTCTCCCTAAGCCTCATTATATCCAATAAAAGTCCTCTTGATTTTAGTTTTGCAATTATGATTGTGGAGATGAGATCTTTATGCAAGCTTATGGTAGATCTTTCACATTTGACTCTTTGAGCGAAACACGTTAAACTAAACATATGTGTGATTGAGTGTATGTCCCGTAAGAAGGTCACTAGTTTGCATGTGGTGTTTTAAAAAAAACTTGAAATTGTATTAGCATGACTATTACACACACTACACTTCAAGGATGATTAAAAGGTCGCTGTTAACATTTGAATAAGGAAGATGAGCTTGGATTAACTTGTTTGGTGCTAGCTAAGGTCCTTGATGATTTGTTTCTTTGAATGAAATTCTATGAGGGTCACATAGGGGGAAGCTAATGTTTTTCATGTTGCTACTTTTTCATGTTTTCTTTGTTTTGCTCGAGGACTAGCAAAAGCTAAGTGTAGGGCTATTTGATAAGCTCATATTTATATAAATTTTATATCAAATTCACTTGTCTTTTCTTAATTAGTTCCTTATATTTTTGAGCTATTTACTTTGATTTTGTGTTTTGTAGGATTTGTCAAGCAAAGAAAAGAAAAAATACCCCAAGTGGGATTTTAAGTAACAAATTCGTCAAAACTGCCTGTGCAGGTCAGCTGACTTTGGAAGCAAGTTGCAGACAGCTCAGAATGAATTAGAGAATGAGCCTTATATGCTTGGAAAGCTACGGATGTCTATTTTCGGGAGCATTTCGTGAATTGTTAATATCATTTTTCTAGAAGAAGTTATGGCCGTTTTAACACTAAAAGGTTCCCAAGAGGCTGAGCAGTTTGTAACTGACAAGAAAGCATTGAAAGCAATAAATCCAATAAATCTAGCAGCCAAAACTGATGCAGTCAAGAACAAACCAGTTGACATCTATTCAAATATCAGAGGAAATGGAATTAAAGATGGGGATTAAGAGTGAGTAATTGGCATAAAGGCTACCCAAGGAGTTACAATTGTTTTACCGTTTCCTCTCACTTATTGTCATTACTAAATGGCTATTAGTGGGTGAGTTAAGGAAGAAGAAAAGGATGCAGCAAGAATTGGTTTAAAAGTAGCGTTGGGGAAGGAAGGAAAGAGAAAAGCCTCAGTCGATTTCTTTCGGTTCTATTTTCTCAAACTCATGTCTATCTTTTGTTTTAACTTAAGGATTGTGTAACCAAATTTTTAGTAGTTAGGGGCTGTTTTGAAGCCCCGAATATGATTGCAAGTTTGTTATGACATTTCGTTTGAATTATTTTTATGAACGGATGAAAATTGATTCACTACTTGTCTCATTGATGAATTCTTTATGTGTTTTCTACAGATGCATACTTAGTAAGCATACATAGGATTCTAATGCTATGAATATGTGTGTGTCTGCCCTTGTTAAACGAGGACCTACATATGTTCTAGAGTAGTACTTGTTAATTGCGATTAACATGTGAACCAATTTCTAGGATAAATAAGACAACGCTAGTACTTACGATGTCTTATGATGACTCAAACTCTTTTCGTTCTTAATGATTTCTACTTGTTAAATCTATGAACACACCATTCTAGATTGCATGTTAGGGACTAAGTTAAGTTGAAAACGCCATTCTCTTAACATACTACATAAGAAAGAGTAATAGGTTGAGTTCTAACATTGAGCCAACTTGAGCATCTTCATCCGAAAATGAAAGGAATTTGAATGAAACATAACATGTTTGCATGATTATTTGGTGGTGGATAGCAATTCCGCTAACTCGTTTTTCTTAATTTGTGAACTACTTAAAAATTTGTTTCTGTTCCGTTTTTGTTCGATTTAATTTAAATAGCAAATCAACTCCAAAAATCCCAAAAATTTGCATGAGTGTAGCTCTGTGTGTCTAGTGTCTTCATATAAAATGTCGTAGACTATAGATAAGTGTAAGTCGGTCTAATAATTATTTTTCGGTGACTGGTCAGTAGAGACAGCAACATAGTTTTTGTGATATTTTAAGTAGTTAGATAAAACAATCTTCTACGGGAAAGACCCTTATTTTCATATGCTACAATTGACAAATCTTAGTGTTAATAAGGAAAATCAATAGGACATTTGTGTGCTACTTTGTGGTGTGCTTTTAATCCTATCACTAATATTGTTCTTATTGGTTGGTATTTCATCTTGCTCAATCAAATTCCAGGAAAGTACTTCAAAGTGCCACAATCCTTTTATCTCAAATTCTCTAAACAAATACCTCTAAACTTTCTTTTTTCAACGAGATCATTTCCTGGTTACCAACATATCATTAAAGCAAACAACCAAGGCAACCTTATATTTAGGCTTAAGGAACGTGTGATTGAAATTGCTTTGTTTGTAGCTAGATGCATTCATCGATTTAATGAATCTCCCAAATCATGTCTACGAGATAGCAATATATACAACATATATGCACACTAATAGTTCTAACCTTGAGAAGTCATTGAAACGAAGCAAATGGTGAACCGAGAACAGTAGCAACAAGAAAAGATCTTCCGCTCTCTCTACATGCCTTATACACTCCTATATCGGGTGGAATGGTGTGCTAGAATGTTGTATATGAGAATGTGGACCTAAGAGTGATATTTATAGGTAAGATTACTCGATTTATGGCCCATAAAGAGAGCGCAATACGTATATTTAACACTTGTAAAATTCATAACCTAACAGGATAGATATTCCCATTAATTATAACTTTACCGCGTCAAATAATTCGGGATAATATCTATTACTTCCTATCTTGTATCCTTAATCAATAGGGCTCCTAATAAATGTAAACCCCACAGAAATCCTAGATCTAACCTTCTCAACCCAAGATTTTCGTCATTGAGCACGAGGCGTCATAGTGGTGGCGTTCTCATACCATAATGCGCAACCATGTTAGTTTACAATTTATACCTACAACTTAATCAAAACCCTGCGGCTACACGCCCAAGCTTTTCTCCTGGTCAGAGAATAGGTTTCGAGCCATGGACAGGGCAAACCAAAGGATGCAAATACAAACAGAGTCGACAGATAACAGGGCAAAACCTTTGTTCGAATAAAATCCACGACCAAAAGAGGGCAAAGTTACAGCACAATACATTATCAGTTGCATAAAATAAACTGTCGAAAATAATGGAAAAATAAAACGACGGATATAGTCACCATACAAAATGAAAAAGACAATAGTTTTCCCTAACATCACAAAAAAGGTGAATACTTGTGCCTCCATGACCGAAAACTAACATCTTTCCCGTTTAAGTATTGGTGGCTCTGGTGTATATCTGCTGGCTAGCATGAGCAGCTATCAGCCTAATGGAACCCCTTGCCATCAAATCCTTAATTGCACGGCGAGCCAATGATCCATTAATCTGAAAAAACAAGAAAAAAGAAATAATCTTCAGTTACTTTAGCATCGGCTAAAGTTAACGACCACTTCATCGACCAATAGGTTAAAGACGTGCAAATTGTTATATAATCAGCAACTGAAAACACAATGCAATATATGTAGAGAAATTAAACCTACATTTGTAATCCAATATCATTATAAAAGCTACATGTGGAGTTTAAGCATGATGGGATGGTTCTCAGGAACAATCGTTGGGACAGTACAAAAAAATTATATTTTTACTTTAACAAGTGCCTATGTATGCTGCATGCATACGAAGCATTTGAATTTTAATCACCATACACGTTTATGCCCCCATGATGATCCTCAACTACAATTTGAGTACAACATGGGAGAATATATGTATACAAGTTTCTCACTTGACAATCAGTAATAACAACAGACATGATGTGACATGATGTGATGAAAAGTGAGAAGAAAAGAATCATAAATGCAATGAACTCAATTATAAAGCTTTCCATCAGTCCCCGGATTTGAAAGAAAACAGAACCCTACCAACCAAAGTGTGAAATAAACAGTCCAAAAGTCGAGAGATGTTGAAAAACAAAAAGAAAATCCTAGCACAGGAAGAATAGAAAATTGGAGGAGAGTATGAGGTATGGAAAAGGATGAGGAGCTGCTTAAGCACTGAAAAGGAAAACTGATATACTGCAACGTTATACAAGGTCCCCTGATATTCTATTAAAACGAAGGACATTAAGTTAAATCATGACAGCCCAAATCAAGCCTGATAGTTTAAAGCTTATAATTTACTGGTGATAGTTTAAAGCTTATAATTTACTGGTGTCGGGTATTTTAAGAAACAATCAGTTACAAAACTTTCCTAATTGATTCTAGCAGAGAGCAAGTATGCAGGAAAGAACAACAGAAGTCATAAGACCACGGGGATAATTAACCTCAATATGCAGCACAAATTACAGCTTGCCTAAGACAGACTTTAAGCTAATAACAAACACAACATAACTATCCAATTATATCGAGTAATTGCGCAGGTATTGTTTGACATGTAAAAATGTGAATCATGATTGTGAATAGAAGCGAGGCACATCAACAATTGAAACAAATTTACATCCATTATGTGTATTTAGTGAGAAATCAATCATGCCTTTAAATAGAACAGGGTGAAAACAACAATTTGGAACAAACCCTTTTACAAAGTTGAAAATTTGTTTACATTGAAAACGTACAATCGTTTAAAAAAATAAAGAACTAACAAAGAGTATACCAAATATGCAATACAATGTAAGTAGATAGATACAGTGTGCCAAAGAGATAAAAGAATGAACTTGTAAAGATCATAGATCACTTTAATCACTTCATCAATGCCCGCAGTAAGTTTTCGTCAATAGGTTTACCAAAAAACTATAAATCCATTATGACAATTAATATTAGATAACCATTATGTAACTCAAACATATACTTAGACTTCCAAAATAAGGGACATTTATACAGACTAACAACTCCCTATGTAGACAATCATACAGAAGAAAAATGAAGTCGGACTCGGAATCATACCCTTAGTCTGTCAGACAAGATGGAAGGAGTAATGAGCTTGTACTTCGGAACTTCGGAAAGCAGCTTGTCGTAAGTCCCCTGATCAAACAAAACCATGTTGTTCACCTTCTCCTTTTGCTTTCCCTTGCTCCACTTCTGTTAATCCATCAAAGTTCTAAAAAAAATGAGAAATTCCTCACACATTTTCACACACAAAAATCAATGAGAGAAAAACAACTCATGTACTGTATCCCAAACAATCAAACAAATGCCCCAAATATTAGAGAAACGGATTCTGGGTAGGAAATACAAAGAGACCTTCTTCTTCTGCTTGCCTCCGCCAGACTTGGCAGGCTTTGAGGATGGTGGAGGAGCCTTATCCTTCTTGGGAGCCTGTAAGAACAACAAGTACAAGAAATTAAGCGACCAGTCTACAAAATTCGAAGACCAAAAATGTTGCATTCAGGTTTTTTGTAAGCATTAGAAGGGAAATGAAGAGACTTTGGGGCTCGGAAGAGAGAGAAAATTACCATGGCGATGAGGGTCGCAGGATTCGCAGGGGTTGCAGGGCTCTGGAGTCAATGTGGAGCAAGAGACAGCGGTCGGACGGAGACGTAGAGTTAGGGTTTTGATAAGAAGCGCAAAGAAATAGAGTTCGGGCTTGGTAGGGTTTTTAAGAGCAAATAGTCCCAAAACCCACTCCACCCCTAAAATAGGCCGGCCCAAAGTTCACCCCATCTTCTAGGCCGGCGTAGAATGGACTGAGGGAGGAATCGACTCATCTGACGTCATGCTGACATCAGCCACGAGCTAAGTTCTTTTTTGCGATTGGCGCGTTGGATATACACGAGCGTGGGAGCGCATTCCTGCAATGAAAAAAAAATTGTAAAAATTGTTTAAAAATACCAAAAAATTAAACGAATTTTTTTTTATATAAATACCCAACCATCTTTCACAAAAGTTGTACTTTCAGGAAATGACACGTGGCGTAACAAGATTGATTAAAAATTCTATCCAAAATTAAAAATAAAATTATTTTTATTATTTTATAAAAAAAATTAATAATATTTTAATACGAATTGACTAGACTCTTGCCCAACTCATTTTTTAGAGGTGGAGATGCAATTGGCCAAATACTATTTATTGTAGTCAATTATTATTCATTTGGGTGGATTAAATGGATTTTGGGCCAACCCATTTTTTTGGGTGGAATTGCTTTAAGAGAAGCACTAACATGCGCCGTATGCATCTTTGTTTTGTTTTGTTTTTTTTTTTTTTTTTTTTTTAGTACATCGATGTATTTACACTAGGGGGAGGGGGAGTTCAGCTAAGTCACATAATGGACAGCCAAGTTTGGTATTGAATTCTCCATACACGAGATTCGAACCTAAGACCTTCTCACTTCTAAGCAAAGAGGAATACCATTAGATCATAGTACCGAGTGACTTTAAGAACATTTTTCTCAAAAAAAAAAAAAAAATGTAATATCAAATTTTTCTTTCTTAATTTTGAAAAAAAATTCATAAGAGTACTTTCATCCTTAGACCATCTCCAACTCTTGGGTTAAAACAAAGAAAAAAAAAATTATCCGGAAAATTTAGGTTTTAACCATAAACAGCTTTTCTACTTGATAGGAGCATATTTATGCGACTTTGTTATCTTATTTCTTTGCATTTATTTAGTTAATTTCCATTTATTTTGGCAATTTATGTTATTTTCGTATTATTGTAGGTCTAGTTGGTAAATATGACAATAAATAGCTAAATGGAGCAATTTGGAGTAGTTTTGGACTTGGATTGGATAGCAGGCGTGGATAGCATATGGGCTGAACGTTTTTGGTATTTAAATGGTGCTAGATATGTGCTAAAATATGGAAAAATTAAAGTTGAGGCTTGGAAGGCAAGGAATTAGACAAGAAAGAGGAATCGTAGTTGGAGAGGAACATTATCTTATTTTATCTTATCCAACTTTATCTTATTTTATCCAACCTTATCTTATCTTATCTTATCTTATCTTATCTTATCTTATCTTCAGCTGCAAGGAGGAATCCTAATCACATTCCTAGACTCTCTACCTGATTTTTAGAGTCCTAAAATAATTCAAAATGCCAAAACCCTTTCCTCCTTGGATTCAGCCATTTTCCCCTATATATATGAAATTCATGCAGAGATTTAGAGTGTGCCATGCCTACCATTCATCCATTGAAGTTGCTGAAATTTTCAAAGTTCTTTCTATCTTTGTTTTAAGGTTCAATGTTTATTTTAGATTGCTTTTCAGTTATTATGAACATGTGTAACTAAGTTTCTTTTTAGTTAGAGGTGAATTCAAAGCTATGATCATATATTTTATATAAATTGATTACATCCAGTTATTGGTTCGTAAAACATGTATGCGACTTACTTATCTACTTTATAGAGAACTTATTTTTGTATGTTTATTAAGGGTGCACACTTAGTTTGCATGCAGGGATTTGATGCTAGAATATAAGGGAATTTCACCTAATCGTTATGAACTTATATTTGTAAGTAGTAAAAGTCACTAGTCATGATTGAGTTAAGTAAATTCTTGGCAAGAGTATCATGTTTTTCATAGTTACAAATGATTTGTCAATGCTTATGATTTTCACAGAACTGAATGATCTTTGAGATGTATCTCTATCATGCTTTTCATAGTTAGGGAACTTGAGAAGAATAATTTGGTTACGTCGCTCAATCCAATTCAATGAATTTAAGAAAATCTAAGAGTTAATTAGTGTTGTTCACAATTAATTTGGGGCATTATCATTCATGGTTTATAAGAAGAATAATTGGAAATCGATTTGTATGCATATGTTTCATGTGTGGAAAAGAATCTTTTAGCTATCCCTTCATCCACAACTTAATTAACTTACTGCCATTTACTTTTGTTTTAATCAAATTCATCCAAAATCCCACCAGCCATTGTTTTGTTGTTAGTTTAACTTAGTTTTCAGTTTCATAAGTTTAATTTGTGTTGATTAGCATCCCTTCTAATCCCCGGAATAGAACGATCCCTACTTACTCGTACTAGGATTGCATAATTTATAGGTTTTAATTTGTGTGTTGGTTTCTACCACATCAAATTTTGGCACCGTTGCCGGGGATTAGTAAAATTGTTAATCCCTCTGTTTTTTGTTTATTTTTCTTTTGATAGTTGATTTAGTTTTATTTCTTTGATTTCAGGTACTAGAGAAGCAGGGCATGGCAATTGCTAATCTTCAAGCTCAAATGACGAATCTTACTTCTCTTATATCGCAGTATATCGAAAAGTCCACAATGCAAAGTGTACCTACATTTGGTGTGTCCTATAGGTAAGGATATCAAACTAATCAACATCCTCAATTAATTGAGAATGGAAGTTGAGATAATGTCAATGTTTGGGGTTATCAAGGCCATAATCAATCAAGGAACGACTTGTTTTCCAACACTTACAATCCAGGTTAGAGAGATCATTCAAATTTTATGTGGAGTGAACCTCAACAAGTTCAACAAGAAGGATATTGGCAGCCATCTCAAGAGTTTTATTCAAGACCTATCCAACCACCACAAATTCCCCCACAACAATTCCAACCATATTCAAGTATGTCCATGGATTATGATAAAATTCTTCAAACACTAAATACTTCTTGTGCTTCTTTGACTTAGGACTTAGAAAACCAAGTTAAAGAGATGGTTGAATTGAAAAATCAACTTGGACATATTGCAAAATTCATGAGACAAATTCGAGAACAAAGCGAACTCTCCAGCTCAACTATTGTCAATTCGATGGGAGAATTTGAAATCGCTGAAGCTGTCACTTTGAGAAGTGGTATGGAGGTTGCAGGTGATTTGAAGGTGTCCAACCATAGCCTAGAAGTGGACAAAGAGCTATTGTCTGATGAAGAGGAAGACTCATCCATGGCAAGCTTTGAAGAAGCCTTGCCGCAACACCCAATCCTCTCTAATCCTATTGCCGCAGCTACCATAGCTCCACCACCATCCAATTCTAGTAAGGTTGTTCCGAATTCAATTCTTTCTAACCTTATTCCATCAAATATCCCCATTCCTTGCAGGTTCTTGCAATTCAAGAAAGAAGAGAGAGAAAGAAATCTTCGAAACCTTCCCAAATGTGCACGTTAATATCCCGATTCTTGGTACAATAAAGCAAGTTCCAGAATGCGCTGAATTTTTTAAAGAGCTTTGTACAACAAGAAGATGGATTCAAGAGAAAGAAGTGGCTAGGGAATATCTAGAATTCATCAAAGAGGATGTACTTGAGACAACTATCCCCGAAGAAGTTGAATTTTATGACATGGGACAAGTCATTGCCCTCACCCAAAATCTGGCCGAGAGCAACATTCCTAAAACTTTCAAAGAAGTGTTTGTCCTTGAGTTCTTGTCGCAACACACAGGTAAGCCACCTCCTCAAATTTCAATTTCGTTTTCTACTAACATGTTGTTGATTTCAATGATTCAGGCACCCACTCTAGAATTTAAACCATTACCGGATCATTTCAAGTATCACCTTCCATTCAAAGATCAACTCCATGCCACTGGTCCTAATGAGGACTAAATGAAGGTATTGTCCGACTAGAAGACGGTAAAGCAACCACTTCTTGGGAGGCAACCCATGTGTTTGAATAAAGAAACCATGGAATTTTCGGCTCCTACAACCAGATTTGCTTTCTTTTACCCTTCTCTTTATTGTTTTTACTTTGCCATGATAGTCTTGTTTGCTAGTTATCTTTTGTTGTTTTCTTGTTTAAGTTTATTTTTGAAACATTGAGGACAATGTTTGGTTTAAGTTGGGGGGGTGTAAACAGATTGCTTTTCATGACTTATTTTTGAATTTCACCACCTATCACTACTAATGTTGTTATTCATTGTTTTAAAGTGCTTTTATTGTGTGTCATATAAAAAAATTTGAAAAAAAAAAAAAAAAAACCAAAAAGAGTCGTTTTTGTTGCTTGTGTGTTTTAGGCTACCTTCCAACACAATGATGAGGATTTGTTTTTAATTGCATGACTATTAAAGAAAGTTACAAACATGGGTGGAAGTTTGATATGCTCTTTGGTTAATACTTAGTTGTAGTTGTCATTTACAAATTCACATATAATCACAAAGAAAAAAAAAAATCAATTTTTGGAACATGCTTGAAGGAAGAAAGTCAAACTAATGCTACAATCCTATGAGACTTGAGCCTATTCTTTGTTTGGAGAGTTATTAATATGTGATATTGTTGTTTTCTAAAGTCGTTGCATGATCTCATTATTTCTTTGTTTGGTTGCTACTTAGAAAGCTTTTTCATCATTTTAGTTCCAAATACTAGAACTCATGCCCATTTCATTCAAAGTATAAAATTGATTGCATGACAAATAACAAGATGAAGTTGTTTAGTTATCACCAGAGCCAAAAAGCCTTATCCCTTGCATATGTATTGTAGGTTTAACGCCTTTGAGCCTTATTTAGCCTATTTTCTTTGTTAGCCTGCATTATCCCTACCTAGCCTAGTATAGGAATATCCATACCCTTATTCTTAAAGAATAGTGAAGCATGACTTGTTGGCAATTCCTTTTGATTTACAATATGCAGAAAAATAAGTGTGGGGGAAGGATTTTCCAATGAAGTAGTTCTTATGTTTCAAAGAAAACAGAAAAGAAAAGAAAAAAAAAAAAAAAAGAAGAAAAACGT